ATTATGCATGCATTTAATGATTTGGATGATATATTCCTTCATGGCCCGATTTTGTTTGAAGAAATAATTTTATCGAATTTTAATATTTTTCGTTTGACTGAGAATTTCTCGGTAAATTTTAATTTTGATAAAATTCAACCTATTTAAAGCCAAATCCAAGTACAATATTTTTTGATAAATTAAATACTTGGGAAACTTCAGTGGAATCTGAGGGAATAATGAATAGTAGAGTTCAAAAATGCATTTTAGTTGACAGACTTTTGTGTGTTGGTTTAGCTAAATCTATGCCTGTTTTTGAGAAATTGACTTTATCTGATCAGGTGTTTTATGTTCATCTATTTTTGATTATATTTAGTGTTGAACCGGAATTTTATTGTAATTATTGTTTTATTGTAACCTCGATTGCTGTCAAGTTTTAAAGATTAATATTAATAGATTGCACATCTAAGGCAGATATGTCATTTGTTTTCTATATTTACAAACACCTACCTAGCTTGGGAATTAGGCTCTGAAACATGGAAACGTAAAGATAATTTTATGCCTGCTCTTGGCGTTAAAAAGAATCCTGTATTCTTAAATGATGATAAGTAAATATTTTTCTAATAATTTTACTAAAAATTTCAGAAAAAAAATATTTTTTTACTTTCAATTTTTAGAGTAAGTAAATGGACAGACCTTTTATTTACAAAATCTGTTTCCCATTTTAAACGTGCTTCATTAACAAACGTTGAATTTGCTTTGTTAATAGCTATTATCCTTTCGAAATCAGGTGAACATTTTAATTTAAATTATTGTGTTGCGGCTTTTTAATGAGCACTGATTGGTTCATTAAAAATAGGGTTGCCAAAATGGACCGAATCGGAGCGAAAGATCGAGTCAGCCTATGATAAATGGCCAGAAAAGAGCTCTTACGGTCTGACCTCTCCTTCCTCTATTTGCCCTGTTGCATATTAAAAAAGGGACATTGATAAAGAGAAGACCTGTCGGATTCGACTGTCGGCCCGACTCGAAAACGGCAACCCTAATTAAAAAATAACAACAGCATCCTATCATCCTGTATTTTTATATTTCAAATTAAATAAACTATAATTTTTTAAGATGCTAAAGATCTGTCTCCCGAGGGAAAGGAATTACTTTATAACGAATCTATTAAATATACAAATATTTTACTTCAATATAATCAACGAAGATTAGGTTTAATTGAAGGGGCTCAGAGATTGGATGAATGTTTTCGTTTAATTAATCAAAGTATTGAAAATGAATATACTTATCGTTTAATGAGCTCTCACCAACTTAAATATTATTCAATGATTACAACTTTCTATAAATGCCCAAAATTTATAACAAAATTTTTAGAAAGAAGTGATTAAAAATGAATAATTTTTAAAAACAAAATACTGTATAACCTCTATCAATTTCCCTTCCTCGATTAATTTTTCCTTTATCGAGAGGTTACCCAATTCAATAAAATACATTCACCTATTTTTCTCATGTAATTTGAAAATATTTTTCCTATTTTTAAATTTCTAAAATTTTAAATCTTTTAAATCTTTTAATAAAATACTTTCATAAAACCTTAAAAAACATAAACGGATAATTACTATTTAGATCAATAAATTTGTTAACTAAAATATTTGGCAATTAAATTAACTAACAATTAACTAAATTTGACAATTAAATAAAATATTTATAAATTTAAATTAAACTAAAAATTTAATTTTTAAATTAAATTTCAATTTAAAATTAATAAATTATGCACAAATATATATACTATTTTAATTAAAACAATTTTCTCATGAAAATTTACTTTTATTGAGTAACAAAAATACAAATACAAGTTCTTTTGTCAAACTTTTTGTCATTTTGTCATCACGCCTTAGACAAGTTCTCCCCCATTATTTCCTCTCTCTTCATTTCTTCATTCTTCATACCCACACTACAATCTCATATTGCATTTCTTCGTCCGATAAAGCTTTGTGAGTCTACCTTGGTAAATCTCGGAAGTAACACGTAAAACAACTTTAAATTGTTATTGATATTTGTTGGTATCGGCATTTTACGAAAAGTTACGAAATTTCTATCAACTATAGTTTTAAGTACCATTTTAAATAACATTTGAAAAGCCTAAATTAAAATATAAAAACACAATTTTGTGCCATAATTCGACATTGTGTTCTCGTTTTTTAAAAAAATAATCTGAATATTATTCAAAGGAAACCAATTAATATAAGATCAAAATAATCATATTTGTTCACTAAAGCTTTTAATATCATTTTAATATCACTAAAGCTAACATTTTTTACTTTTCTATAAATTAAAAAAATTTATTTTCAACAAAATAAGATATGTATGTAGTAAAATTAATTTAAATATTTTTATGGCAAATGTGTCACGCTATTAGTTTTTAGTACAAAAAATACCGTAAGATTTTATTCCTAGCTCAATTTTGTGAGAAAATTATCGAGATTTTTAAAAAATAAATTAAGCCAGACATGTTTTCTCATATTTATTAAAACAAATTTAGTAGAATGTATAAACAATAAGAAAATTTACTTTCGGTGCAATTATAATAATTTTCCCATTTGATAACAGTACTTATACAATTTTAATAATTCTCTCATGATCTCAGTACATATTAGTGATGCCAGAGAGAAGAAAACACCCGAGAATCGGGAAGCGGGAGTCGGGTCGAAATAAACTTGAGAGCCGGAATCGCGAGTCGGGAATTTTCAAAAAATCGCCAAAAATCTCATTATCTTGGCGACGCTAGAATTTTGAGAATTTTGGAGGTCAACAACCCATAATGTTGTTGTTCTGTTAAACTAAGAATCTGAGTTTTGTTATTGGGTTTATTATTGGGTTTTTCTCCATTCACCTTGTATTTTTCCGCATCTTTCTCCACAATCATAATATTTCTTAAGTTTAGCTGTACGTTCTTACATTTTAGCCAACCATAAAATTCTCACGCTTAATAATTAAAAATTTTTTTATTTAAAAAATTTTTAAATAAAAGTGAACCAAAAATGATATTTTTCTTTCAATGTTTATATGTATGATATTTTAGCTCAAATTTTATTTCATAAAATCGAAAAAAATTTTTTAACTTAATTCTTACATTACGATTTAAATTCATAGGCATAACTATAATAATTTTTATAGTAAGAATTTAAATTGTCGCCCAAAGTTGTGTATCTGATACTGCATATATATATCTGATACATATCTGATACATACACTTTATCGTTCTATTAATAAATTTTCATGGTTGGAATAGAGTACGGTAAAGCACTCCTTTCATATAGAGTCAAAATTTTGATTGGACTCGTAAAATTTCAATGGACTCATAAACTTTTGATCGAACTTATAAATGTCATGGGACCCACAAACTATCATGGACTCACAAACTTTTATGGGACTCATAAAACTTCATTAACTCATAAACATTCATTGGACTCATAAACTAAACCAGAGCCCTTTCCTTTCAAGTTTACTATAATATTTTACCTTAAATTTTTTTTCATAAAATAAAAAAAATTTTATCTTAAAGTTCTTACTTTAGGATTTAAATTAATAGGCATAACTAAATTTGTATATTAAAAATTTTAAATGTTAGGCAAGGTTGTGTGTCATGTTTGCAATAATGTACAGTAAAATCGCTAACTTGAGTTTCCACAATAAAAAGATTTTTAATACTACTAGTGCAAAAAAGCAAAAAAAAAAAGTTATCAGATAGACGACATCTGAACTTCGTTGATAAATCAGTTTTTTTTATTTTCTAAATCAAAAAATTTTTCTTTTAAAAAGAATAAGAAATGTCAATAGGAGAAATATATTCAACAATAATTTATTGTTTTGCTACATTTGGATTGTTTTCTAATTTCTTTTTAATCTGGCTAATTTTACGTTATACAATGAAAGAAATGCAAGTTTATAGCAAAATCCTTTTACAAACTTGTTTTGTTGATATTTTTGGAATTTGTTTGTTTGTTGTTTCTCAACCGGTAAATAAATAAATATTTGAGCGCGGGAAAATGTAAGCGAGATAGTACCATTAAAACGCCAAAATTGTAAAGGAAGTAAAGTACTTAAAAATATCTCTGAATATATCTGGACCAACAACTTGATAATAAATTTTATAAGAAAGAAGCCAGAATTAATCCTTTATAAGCTTAAAACTCAAATTTTTGAAACTTTCTAAAATCTAAGAATTAACAAAAGTCGTAATCGTATCTTCTGAAAAACTCGGAAATTTAAGTGTTCCTTTTAAATCAAGTTTCGATCAAGTTTTCGTTTCAATTAAGCTTTTAAATCATGTTTTTTTTATTAAAAATAGGTTTATATTTCGGATAATGGTGTTGGCACGACTTGGAATTTCGGACCTATACATTTCTTACCAAATCCGTGGCAATTTATAATTCTCCTTATTAATAATTTTATGATGAGAGTTACTTTAATGAATGTCTCTACATTATTCATTTATCGTTATTTTGCTGTTGTACGGTAAAATTTAGGAAGTTTTTGAAATAATTTATCCACTTTATGTAATATGTAATTTTCTCATCCACTTTATGTAATCGAAATTTTTCGAAATTTTAGAATGAATTTTTATTAAATTTCTGATGCCATGCGATAAAAAAAGCGTGTAAAGGACAAAATAATAAAATATCATGAGATCTGAATGTCAAATAGGTTAATTCGTTTAATTTATTTGACAATTCCGATCTATTTGTTAAACTCATATTGTCTCTTTGGCCGCATAAAGAATGATGGGAGATACATCAGATTGAAACTGGACTGGTTGAGATCTTGGATAAAGTCTCGGTTATCGTGATCGAGCTTTAACGAGAAATTTGAACATTCTCCCACATTCTCTTGGACACATTCTCTCTCTGAACATTCTCTTAAACATTCTCCCAGTCTGGTCTAAAATAAAATACCAACCCATTTTTTGCAGCGAAGCTGATATTAAATTTAAACACCAATTATTATTAATTGTTGGCATGATAATTCCAATATTTATATTATATATTTGTTCTTATTTATCAAACCAACCAACACCCGAGAATGAACATTTAACGAATTTTGAGGTGGCAAAAATATTAGAATTGGATAATTATACTATTGAAAATAATGTTGTTGGACTTAGAGCAAGGGTAGATTGTTTTTACAATTACAAAAATTTTAAATATATTTTAGACCAACGACCTATCAATTTTTACTGCAAATTATGCTTCAGCATTAACTATACTTAATTATATTATAATTATTTTTTGTGGTATAAGTATTCAAATACGTGTTTATCGTCATTGTAAGGGTGTAGAAATGACTCAATTACGTAATATGAACAAGCAATTAAGCATTGTTTTGGGGACACAGGTATCGAATAGAGTTGTCGGTCTTATTGCAGTTCCAAATAGACTGAACAGGAACTTAAATTTTTCTAAATTATGTATTCAAAAATTCGGTGACAGAAAAGGCTTGACAATACATTTCTCGTATGCCACTATAGTTGAGACCAAAAATAGATGTACGAGTACACGCAAATTTTTAAATTTCTACAGCCGATCCCACAGAAATCGATAAATATAGGGATCATTCCAGTCTATTTTTTTGAATATTTCAACGAACCTATACTAATTTATAGGCTATTCTACCTTTATTACCTTATCTAAGCAATTTATTTGCCAATCTAAATTTTTTATTCAATTTGCCTGGTTTATATTCATCATCTACAGTCATGTTAATTAGTTGTAGTTTAGCATCTTTGGTTGCTGTATTAAATCCGATTGTAAGACTATTTATTTTATATAATTGAATTTGACAATTTTTTTTAAAGGTAACAATTTTGAGTGTAAGAAATTACAGAAAAATAATTTTTCGATGCAAAAATAATTCAAATATTCATCCAGTTGCTCCGATGCCTGAAGCTACAATACCGGATATACCTATACAAATTATTAAATGACAAACTTTTCATATAAAAAGAAAACATTGGTGTAGTAAAATACGATACTTTGTATATCTTGTCCATCAAATGATATTATTTACTCTATCTTTTAATTTAAAATAGCGTATTTTATCGTTATACATTTCAAAATTTTGATATATTCCAAGTAACTCGGCTGAATCCCCTTTAGAAATTTTACATTTTACTAAACCAAAACTCGATTATCTAATTGTTAACTAACAACAAATTTGAAAGAAACAAAAAAACCATTTATAAATAAATCTAAAGATATAGCAAAATTATATCTATGTGTGCTTGGCATGTTACAATCCTTTGACAATTAGAAAGTTTCGAGTTCACCTTCATCCTTAGACGATTTGTTTGCGTCTATCTATAATTATTACTTTATTAATTTTGAAACAATTAAATAATTACCTCATAATTATTAAACTGAATTAATTCTCGAATAATTAAAACAAGCTCGTCGCGGCTGTATGAACTTTTATCTATTAAAGCATTAATTAACATGTCATCATAATTTTCTATATTAGTACTATTCTCTATTATTTTAAGTCGAAGATCTTCTGAAAAATCACTCGATAATTCATTTTGTTAGGCATATTCATTAAAACTTATGGCTAAATCATTCGATTCCTGTTCAGATTGAACATGTCCGCTAGTTTCCCAACATGTCTTGTTTTGTTCTTTTTTCCTTGTTTCTTTTTTCCAACACAGACAATTGAATTTAATAAAACACAAATTGCCAAAAAATATAAAACAAAAGTACAAAATCTCATTTCTTTAGTAATCTAAAATTATAGAAAGATGATCTAAAACAGATTGAAGTAAAAGGTTTAGTTTTTGTTCCGGGTGGTTTCATATTGAGTGATAAAAAGCTGCTCAGCGTCTGGTTTTCATTTTCGAAATTTTATAGGAATTATTTGTTTGAGCTAAAATAATTATTCTGACTTGTTAGCCTTACAAAGTTTTCTTTGTTAAAAATTTATTTTAGAATTTTTTCTATTTTGCGTATTAGTTACTGCATTTAATTCTCTGTTTAATGAGTATAAACAATAAAACACTTGGGCGAGAGTTAAACAATTTTTACTTCTACAAAAAATAAATTTTCGCTCCGTTGGAACAGTTGGTTGAGCAACTGCTAATCCTAATACATAAGCTTGGCCTGTTTTTATTAGTGTACATTTGTAAAAAATTTTGAAAGCTTTGCCAAGTTAATATAAATTTAATAAATTACAAGTTTTTATATTTGAATTAAAATTTAAAAAAATATAGCCGTTTATTAAATAATTCCCTAGCCATTATAATGAATGTCAATAAATGCCAGACTTTTCTCCTTATCTTTTCTAATTTTTATTTCTCTAACTGTGTAGAGAAATTTTTAAAACGTGGCGAAGTTATATGTGAATTGAAAATTGATTATTGAATTTTTTTATTTTATAAAGGGGATATAGAATATAAACTTTTAAATAAAATTTTAAAAGTTATTTCTAAAATGTAACAATATTTTGTCATCACAAACATCTATGAGTACATAACAATAATTACCATTTATCGCTATAAAAAAAGTCATTAAATGCCGGATATGATCAGATTTGAAGACGGACTTTGAAAACCGATATTTGAGGAATTTGGACCGACATTTGAGGCCCGATGTTTAAAAATATTAATATTATTAATAAAAAAATTTTTAATCAATACAATTTTATTTTGATAATATTCAATATAACTTGAGACTAGTTAAGTTTATTCTTACTCTAATTCATTTTAGTTATTAAGTAAATATGAAAAATTTGCTTCTCTGTGTACTCTTGAATATTTCATTACACCAAAACAAATTATAATTATTAATATTTTTAATTAAATTAGATTTTTTATTTAATAATTTAATCTTTTTGTTAATTTTAATAATACAAATAAAAAGATACAGAAAATGTGTTAAATTGAATAATAGATGTTATTAAATTCCGAGCTTACCATGGCTTAAGGGAACGAAATGAATAACTAAATCTTAAGATTTGATGAGATTAAGCAAAAAATAATTGTATAAATTCGGTATAATTCGGTATAATGTATGCACATAAGTTGTGTATCTGTTGATAATATGTAGTCCACATGAGAAAGCTATACAGTATTGTCGGAACTAATAATATTTGGTATCTTTTGTGTATCAAAATCAAAAATATTTTCTAGTAGTTTACATCTGAGAGTTTACATGGTTGTCAAAATTAATTTATCTCAAAGTAAATGGAAAAGATGGTTAAAATCTGCTGAAAAGAGAGAGAATTAGACTTCATAAAATCTATTTTTAAACAAAAAACAAACAATCAATTGGCTAAACTTTTTAAATATTATCGTACCGTATAGTAAATTTTTCGTTAAAGAAGTCTAATAATGTGATTAAATAATAATAAAAATTAAATGTCGATAACTAAGTATTAATATTTTTCCCAGTTTATTATAAAATTAAGTTTTTAAAATTTGCCTCGTAGAAAATATATACATGAATTTAAAAATTAAATAATTAATAATACTTGTTTATTTTTCATTTTCATTTTTATATATCATTCCCTTAAAAGAACATATTGTTAAAACAAAGTTCACTATTAGCTTAAAAACTGGAAAAAGGGAGGACAAATTCTAAGTAAATCAAAGATAGGCCAAAAAGATAATAAGAATTTTGTTGACAAGCCAAAAAAGCGCCACGAAGTAATAAAATAACAATTAAAATCTAAGCAAAGTTAGGAAAGAAGTTATAAGTACATTACCGTCAGTTAGTTTATTTTTCAGCTATAATAGTAATTAAGATTTTAATTAATTAAAAATAAAACTATAATAGTAAATTATTAAAATTAAAAATGAGTATAAACCCAAGTGCTTAATTAAATTCAGATTTTAAAAGTATTAAATTGAAATACGGAAAGATGCAGCTTCTATTAATTTATAAATGTCAAAAAATAACATTTAGTTAAAATTAAATTATTAAATATAAATACAGATAACAAAAGGAAATAAAAAAAGTATCCAAATAATAAATTACATTATAGAAAAAACGAAAAAGATTACTTCTTCCTGCTTCATAAATTGACAATATTCCTTTTCATGCATAGACCTGAAATTGTCCCATAAACCCTTCGTCGACCCCTTATTACAAGCCAAGTTTTTATCGCATATTAAACATTTTGCAGAATTTTCTGAAGTGCTTTTTTCGAAAAATTTCCATATGTCTAACGTCTTTGGCATTAGAATTTTTGTTGAAAATTTTTATTTTTAATAAATTTATCTAAATATTTGTTTTTGTATGGGCAGAACGCCAACATCGGAATATGTAAATAATTATTGTAATTTAGGTGGAAATTTATTAAATTTCTTCATATATTTTTCCCAAAAATGGCATTTTTTGGGTATATAAAATCCCGAAATTTTTCGGGTCGGGGAACGGGGTTTTCACTTTAAATCGGGGCGGGGTTCGGGTCGGGGAGAATCGTAAAAAAATCGTTCGGGAACGGGGTCGGGTCAAACTCTAGTTTAAAGCTGTAAGCTCGCAGGTTCGATTCAAAAAAATTCCTCAACAAATTGGTCAGTATGGTTGGACACCATCAATTAACCGAACGAGAAACTGAAACCATGGGATCGAAAACCGGTGTGAACGAAAACTGGAGTTCGGTTAATAACCGGTTGTGAAGGATGATAATCGGCGAACAAAGAAACCATTTATTTCAATAATATTTATTTTAGAAAACCAAATATGAAAATAATTTTTTGGTGCTGGTCTAGCTTATGCATATATTGAACTTTTATTTACTTTTTTAAAAATTATTTAAAGGCATTTTTGTAAAAATGTGATGTTGCAAAAAAATGTGATGTTGCTAAAATTCCCCAAATGATTCACTAAATTCCCGCCCTGATTTTGCCAGCATCTTTTTTGTATCTTTAATGTTTTGAAAGAAAATTTTTATAAAAATATAATAAAACAAAAATAAATTTAAAAATAAAATAAAAATTCCTTATTTTGTCCTTTGAAAGAATAAAAAAATTTTAACTTAACATTAAAGGGCATCAATATCCGGTATATATTAAAAAGATTTTTCTAATTCTGTAAGGGGTACAATATTTATTGATTTAATTTTCATAATAATTTTGTAAAAATTAATAAATAAAAATGTGATTAGCCACGCAATACCATTCATGTGAATTATTGTGAGTGATTTTTGTGAAGATTTGGAAAATTGTGAACGATTTTGCCGGCCTCTTTTTTTATATATTTTGTGAAATATAAATGTCAACAATGAGAAATTCTTTTAAATCTCCGCTATAAAGCGTATTTGTATGTAGCAAGATAAAAAGATAAATTCCGTTAATCAAAAGTTTAATTCCAAATTATTTCTAAATGCTTGATCTCCAGCAAAATATACTTATTCTTGATGCTTCAGCATCATTATTCTTGTGATAATGCACATTTGGTAGTTACTTTCCTCATTAGTTTATTCCTCGAATAAACTAAAGAAAACAATCCGTTCAGGGAAAAAATCCGGAATGGAATGATTAGAAAAATATAGCCGAACAAAATGGCTGTTACTAAACATGCCAAAGTTCTCTGTCAATCTGTTAAAATTGT